ATGAATAGTCCATAAGGACTTTCCTGTTTTATATGCATTACATTATAAATAGGACTAAAGATGTACTTGGACATAAAATCCAATAAACAGAAGGTTAATGGCATAAGCATCAGTTTTATATTGTAACTTTAGTATGCAGCTAATTTGGTTGATAATTATGGGTGTTGTATTTAGACACAGGGGCTTTTTATGTTGAACACCTTTTGAGATGTAGTCCTCAGACTGTATAATTCCCTGGAGAGTTTCCTTTGTGCCTGCATGTGCTGGGAGGCTGTACCATCTCTGTGGGAGTGTGATGTGTGCTGGTGGCTGCATGGCTTGTCCCAGATGGATCAGCAGGCACAGCTATCCCCAGTGGGAAGAAGCTTTATCCCCATGTAGTGGTACTGCTGGTGTGCTGTCATAGAGCATTTACACAGCCTAAGAAAATGTAGAAAAGGTTTACATCTCTAGAAGGCTTTGCTGCATGAAGAGACTTGGAACACAAAGTTAAATTTGTTTGTAGTGAACTGCAGGTAACTGAGCTCTAGGTCTGGATGGAGCACTGCTGAAGATAAGATTCCCACTATGGTTTTTGTTATTTTATACTCAAAACCATTATAAGCAGAATTCAGAATATTTTTTTCCTCTTCTATGTATCAGTAAGTCTTGAGGTTTATTTTAACTTTCCATTTTAAGAAAACGGTTACCTTGAAATCAAAATTTTGAGAATGCATTGCTCAAGGCTTGATAAACTTGGGTGAAGTGTTCTGGGGCTTTCTGAGCAGAATCTAATTGTCCCCCATGTATACAAACTGTGGCTACAAGAAAGTAATTGTTTACTTAGAACATTCAAACTGTAGCTAAAATTATTTAAAGTAATTGCCCAGTGTTACAATTTGCTGGATCCCAGGTGAGATTCTGCATAATAGGTGTATAGCTAATACAAAAAAATACAGTTGGAGGAACAGTGGTTTTTTTTGGTTGAGTCAAAAAATGCACTTTCAGTTCTTGAAATAGACTAGGGAATTTCTACAATCCACTCCCATACCTTTGAATATCCTATCCAAAACATTCCCTGGGTCACTTACAGACACTGGATTCAGGAAGGCAGAAACAGAAATGTTTATTCTCCTTACTCGAGTTTCAGTAGTACAAAATAAAGAAAGTGAAAATAACTGAAATTACAGTTCCATGAAAATAAGACACCTGAAATCCAACCTGCAAAAAAAGCCCAAGGTATTTTGGGATCTGCTGTGTGCTCACTTCTGAGGTCATGTGGGTAAGTTCTGGAAGGAAAGTGCTCTTGGATGCATTTAAGAATCAGTGTGTAACTTCAGCCTATTCTGCCACCCAAATGTAAGTACTGAATATTTAACTGCATTGTCAGCTCCTTTGTGCTCTTGTGACATTTTAAGCTAAGATAATAGAAATACTTATTTTGTTAAAGATAACTTTCCTGTAGAAGGGTTCTAGATTGATTCATAGTGCTGTAGTCCCTCAGTGAAGCCCAAAAGAGATATGTACGGGGTAGGAGGAGCTTTAGAGAACTGCTTGGTGTGCGTGGGTTTGGTTCTGTTTCGTTCCTCTCAGCAGGGCAGGACTGTGTTGGAAGGTTTGCTTTTGAGTGAAATGACACAATTTTGTTTTAATCAAATACAGAAACGTATCCTGATGTAATAATGATGTATTTCTGTGTATCAGTGGCAGCCACTGCCCACACACCAGGAGACAAAGCCAGGCAGAATTTGGTCTGATTTCTTGCCTGGTGTATCAGATCAATATTTGTAGAATTGCTGGGTTACCCCTTGCCCATAGTTCTGTTTGTTCTCGAGGGATTGCTTCACTTGTGTGCTGTTAATTTACTCACAACTTTCTTGACCAGTAGCTTCTAATAACCAAGTAAAAGTTTAATCTTTCCTTAATTGTTGGGATCAAGAAGGCTTTTGCTAGATTAAGGTGAGATAATTTAACTCTTGTCCACTAAAGTTTTTTGCAGAGCTTCAGGTTACCTCATATTCTCAGAACAAGTCAAGTCATATATAACTTACCCAACTTAATACCAAACATAGTCAAGTATGTTCACTGTTAAACAGTGTGCCTGGAGTGAGATCCCCCTTTCCTGCTTTTTAAATTGTGGCAAAGGAGGAAGAATCTTAGTAAGTTCTCAAAATACTGGTTCTGCCAAAGTAGAGATTGCAAATAGGACTTTGAAATTTTATCTTGGATCATGATATGTCTTAATTGTTTTCATAACTGTATTTAGGATTTTAGGAGTTGCTGAGTTTTTATTGTGTCATTGTTTCTTGTTGGATTTTTGAGTCTCTTTCTGAAGCAGTAGGTGTCTTAATCTTGAACACCATGTGAAACTTTATGGTCATGTACCACCTGTCCACGTATCTCCTCAGAACTATTAGGCCTACTTAATGCTGCAAGGCAGCATTTTCTGGGATGTGAGGAGTGGGCTGTGGATGGAAATTCTCCTATGTTCAGAAATGGATAAAAGTGTCCTGTGCAAGTCCAGTCTTGTTTTGTCTTGATGTGTCGCTTTTGAGATAATGATTAAACAATTTCCCTTTACTCTGCAACTTCTTTCAGCTGCAGTGGGGTTTAGAGTTTACCTTTTGAATTTACAAAGCAATTCAAGTCAGTTTTATAAACAAATATAGCCAGTAATTTATTTACTCTTGGAATGCGCTTAGCCCTTGGGTAGAGTGTGTTTGTATTGTCTAGAGCTGTTACCAACATGACCTCAATTTTATTTATTTATATTGGCTGAAATGTGTTTTATGATGTTGTATACAAGATATTCAGTTTTCAAAGCTTTTAAATTGTTACTGGTTTTTCATATCTGTGCTCCTGCAATCATTTTACAGGCCAGATGCCAAAGCAGCAGTGTCACATATCCTTGCACCTTTCTACTGTTATAGTTGGGTTTTTTTTCTTAGTATATAGTTACTCTTTTTTTGTAGAGCTTGGGTATATCTGTGTACTTAAGGCCCCCTACTGTGTTAGGAGAAATACAAGGCACGGCTTGATAGAAATAAGTTCTCCACGATTTTGTGTTAAAAGAGCAAAAATAGTGGAATGCCAGCATGTTTCTGTGGTTTCTTTAATAGAATTGTTGTGTCCTAGTAGTGACCTAGTAAATCCTGTCATGGTGTTGTTGCATTGTTTATATTTCTGTTACCTTTCCTAGATTACCCTGGGAAGTGTCACTCTTGCCCCAGAAGGAACTGATGTCAGTATTTATCATAGAATGACTCTGTAATTTCTGCATTTCAGAACAACAGTACTTCAGGTTGGAAGGGACCTTAGGATGTCTGCAGCCTTTTGCTCACAGCTCTTTGTTTCAATGCTCAGTTTCTAACTGAGCTCTGACTGTTCTCTAAACTCACTGGTCAGGTGTTGAAAGTCCAAGGGTAGAGACTGCACAAATGGTTTGGGCAACTTGTTGTACAGCTTGACTGACCTTGGTGTGGAATTGCATCTGTGCCATCCCTTGTCAGCTCCTCCCTCCGATCCTTCTGCCACTCATGGCTGTGAAGAGCCTCTTGTGCTGTTTGTGTCAGCTCCTGCCTGTCAGAGCAGTGCCCGCCTGCCTGGGCTGGAGTTACTGCAGGCTTCATTTCCAGAGACAGCTGGAGTCATCAGGATTTCTCAGTGCACCCACCTGATAAACTTGGCTACATTCTCTAACAGTTTTGGTCATCTTCCCAAGCAGTTCAGCTCTTTATAGTGTGTAGTGAGACAAAAGTTGGTTCTTTTTATCTTTGGTGAGATAAAAGATGCTGGTTCTGATACTGAAACAGCTTTTTGCACAGAGTCATTGTTACTTTTGGCAGAGCCAACCTGGTAAATCTGCCAAAACGAAGAAGAAAATGCAGTAAGAAGAAGATTTTATTGTATTCAACCAGAATAGAGTTTGACTTTCAGTTAGTATCTAATTAGGGGCTTAAATAGAAAAGTTAGAAATTACCTGTTCAGTATTTGTCTTGATGGACACATTTTAAAACCTAAACTAGTTAGTGTGATGAATCAAAACAAGACCAATGTGACCTAAGAATTATTGAGGTGAAATTTTGAGCTCCTGGCTTAGAAAATTGATCCTGTGAAATTGGATCAAGTGTAATAGGAATGAAAACAGTTAAAGCCTCAACTCCTGCGAATTTCTTACTTTTAAAAGTGTTGGGAAAGCTACTGAAGAGCCAAACAAAAACGGTTTTTTATATATTGCACTGCATGTGGGAGGTTCTGTATCTTGGGTATTGCTACTGAAATAGAGAAACTGGAGGCAATGCCTTCTATGGAACCATACAGAGATGGGGGATAGGCACTTAATTGAGATTTTGGGTGTGCTGTGCATCCTAACAAAATGTATGATTTGGACAGAAATACATGTGCTGACTGCTTGAAACCTGCTTTCCAACATTTGCAAATGTTTAGAGTTAGAATTGGAAGAATTAATTACAACTTGCATCCCACTTCTCTTAAAAATGTCCCCCACTACTTCATGGTGCCTGTTTGATGGCAGCCTCGCTGCCTTTTGCTTCTGGCAGTATCAGAGCTTCTGCTCTTTTCCTGTACTATAACAAATGTGTGCTAGGGAGTCAGGAACCCAGCTGGCCAAAATGGGCAAGGTAGAATTCTTGTTACTGCACCAGCATGGATGCTAAAGAGCTTAAACTCAGAACTGATGTTTGCTGTTCTTGTAAGTGTGTGTGAGTAAAAACCTCCTTGTACTTGGCATCTTGCAAACTGGAAGAGTGTGATTTTTTTTTTTTTTTTCCCAACTAAAACCAAAATGTGGGATTTGCTGTCCTCTTCCATCAGCTTTTTAATTTACAAAGCTGAAATGGAAGTTGGCCTAAGCAACATCTGACTGGTATTTCTGCTTGAGACCAGAACCAAAAGCTGAGCAAAGCTTTTGTTTGGAGAATAGGAATGCTGCTTTGCTATGTTAAGCATAAGATTTGATTTCTGAAGAAATAATGAGTTGGTTTTGTCTGTTTTTGGTACAGGTTATTAATGCTGCTTTAGCTCTTGCTGCCAGACCAAAAAGTCAGGTTGTGAAAAGCAACATGGAGATGTATAGGAGTACGTGGGAGAATCACATCCGTGTTCTTACTGAAGCTGTGGATGACATAACCAGTATTGATGATTTCCTTGCTGTATCAGGTATGATGACTTTCAGAATCTAATTGTTCTTTTATATGCTTTGAAAATTTTTCATCCCTTTTCAGTAGGAAACCAGTGAAAGATGAGGATGTATAATTATCTGTGAAATCACTACTGCTATTTCAGATGTCCCCACCCAGTGGATACTCATGTTGTGTATGGTGTAGAGCTGGGCAGAAGTCCCAGGTGGGTGGCATAGGGGTACATTTATCCATCCCCACAGCTTCCTTTCTCTCTACAATTTCAAATCCTCTCTGCAGCTGTGAGAAGTCTCTGAGAAAAGGAAGTGCATATACCTTAAACCAGAGGTTCTTGTGATGCCCTGTGTTCCAGTTACTGTGGAATGCACAGTAGAATTTCTGGAATCTTCAGTGTCACTGATATTTGTCACACAAAATGTACTTTTACAGATCTCTTCATTGAAGAGACCTTGGGTAGTAAAGTGTATTTACTGAAGCAGTGAGAGTCTTAAGCGTTTAAAAAGGAGGAAGAAAAGGCTGTCTTCACTGTTGGCAGTTTAAAGATGCCAGTTCTGAAGTAAGGTTCTGCCCTCACTGAGGAAAACTATTTAACAGAAGCACTTCAGCTGCACAGTGCCTCTTCTTGTTTTGCTCCTGCTAAAATACTCTTTGAGATGCACAGTTCAGAAATCTTTGTATGGTGAAGCACGTGCAAATTTGTGTAATTCTACTTTTTCAATTTCTCTTAAAGTAGCATGACCTGGAAAGGAAGGAAAGGTTTGTCTCATCTGCCTTAAGTGAGGTTTAATTTCTGTGTGTCTGTGTGGTCAGTGCACAGGGCCCTGTGCTTGCCCATTTCTCTTTGGGCTTAGTTCCATTAGCTAGGACAGCTTGGTTTATGCAGCAGTAGGAAACGTGAGTAGTTCTGCAAGCTCAGTGGTTTCAGCCCTTGTCAGTGGAGTCACAGCTGGGTTCCTATTCCTGAGTTATGCTTTGCTCATTCAACACGAGAGCAGACTCTTGCCTGAACGGGGGCAGAGTTTGGGTATTGATTGCTCTAAAGCTGGTTTGCTATCAGCAGTGCCAGCAGCTGAGTGGTGTTTGTCCCTTAGCTCAGGGTGTGGTATTACAGTGCAGGCAGCACGAGCAGAGATGGCTCTGCAGGCCCATGTGGCTACAGGCTTTTCTCAGGTGGGGCAGTTTTTGCTTTACAGGGTCAGCTCGTGTACCTGCAGGTGACTTAGGTGCAAAGAGTGTGGCTTAGTTACTCATAGTTACTCTCCTGGGTGTATCTCAGTACAGAGAAGCAGAACCTGAGAATCATTTTCTCCCTGTGTAAGTTAGACTTTGATGGAAGGGCTTCATGAACCTGCCTCTTGCTTATGGTGCAAATCTTCCTGTTTCTGAAATTTCCTGAAATTTATGCAGGTATTACTAAAACTGCTAATAAAGAGGTGAAATAAGTGAATTGCTAATGAATAAAATACGTGAATCTCTTCATAACTCAGAGTTTATAGTAGGCTAAAAGTTTTCTGTCAAATTCATTGAGCCAAATGATTCTTTTTATCTATACAGCTATGATTCATTGAGATGGCACATTTCAGGTTTTTTCCCAAAATTTCTTGCACTTGAAGAATAAAATTAAGCATTCCAATAATAATTGTGTAAAAGAAAAATCTGTCATTGGGCAGCTGCTCATTTCAGAGAAGACTCCTGGCTTTTTGATGTATTTCCATTCTTTGGTTGAACACAGTTGGATGATGGACAATATTGAACAGTAAGTAAAAGCAGGAGCTAATTCAGGTAGCACTGTTGTGTAGGCCTATGTGCCATGAGGTCCAAGACAGGTAAATATTGAGATATTTGCTTTCCAGTGTGTGTAGAACATCTTTGTAAGCTGTGATAGAGCCCTTTGGCACCTGTTCATTTAATTTGTTTAAACTTCAAGTGTCATGCTCGTCCTTAAGTGCTCTGTTGAGAAGATGTTTCTCTATAGCAATGTCACCTTTTGGCTTTGGGAAGGTTTTATTTTCTAGTTCACATACAAAGAAGTAATTACTAGGGAGTAATTGTAAGGAACAGGGCAATCCACTCTTGGTTTACTCCACAGGGTATTAGCAGCATTGCTGTGTTCTGAGGAATTAAAACATTCACATACTGCTCTGTCTAAATAGAAAGGTTAGAAGTTTAATAGAAGATATCTGCCCTTTCTTGGAAATCACTCAGTAGTTAGGAAAGATAAAGTGCATTCAGGGTTTTGCATCGTGTTAGAAGGGAATTCCAGAACCACTGTTTAATGGTCCTGGTTTTTTCTACAGAAATTAGTATTGTACATCTCATGCCAGCATGGGCATTCTGGGTGAGAAATATCTTTTAAAATACCAGATTTCTTTCCAAACAGATTCTGTGCTGTGCTGGCACATCAGCTCCTCTCATGTGAGTTGGAGTTTGCAGGTGCTGAGGGAAGTGCTGAACCCTGCAGTGTCAGAATGGCATGCAGAGTTAGAGGATATTTCTTAGGAAATACAATAAACACGCCTTCCCTAGTGCTTCTGGTGATCCAGAACTCTGCATCATTCGAGAGAGTTGCCTACCTTAAAGTTCATTTTCCATTTCTTCTCTGACTGACTGAGAGGTCAGTTATTTCTGACAATCCTTCCTGTCCCACTGGCACTCAGGGAAGGAGAACTGTGAGCCTTTGGAAGGTTGGTTGTTTCTTCTTTGGTTTCTTTTTTTATTGTTTTGGGTTTTGTTTTGTTTGTTTTTTTACATTCTTGTAAATGTCATCTAAGAATAAACAAAATGCTGTTCTTTTTCTTAGTGTGGTCTTTGCTTTTCAGATTTGTGCATCTGCTGGAAATTTGATTTTTTGTTTCAATTGTGTTTTATCCTTGTGATTTATTTATGGTACTGTGTTCGAAGGAAAGCAGCACTGCAGAACAAAAAAGATAAAATCAGGTCTCTACAAGTGAAAGAGGTCTGATTGCAAATAGTTGAAGTGGAAGTCTGTTCTTTATAAAGGAATGCAAGAGTTAATGACTTGTGTAAAAAAAAAAAGTCACTGTAATTATGAGACATTATAAATGGTGATACTGCTGTTCATAGCTCTGTTACACCTTGTAAGAACAGAGAATGAGTCTCAGCCTATCGGTTTTGGATAGTTAATTTATGCAAGGAACAATGCAGGTGTTAATCTTTACAACCCGCTGACATTAAGTTAAAAAATTACTGTCATCCATTTATCATGATGATATGAAGTCTACAGACTCATAAATTAAAATGTGCTGTTGCATTTGATGCATGAATTTCCAGGAAAGCAGTTTTATTATGCTTGTAATTGCATTCATGTTGGTGAATCTGAGGTTTAATCCTCAGCTCTCTGCTCTTGTAAGCTGACTCTTGTGTTTTCTCCCTCATGCAGTTAGACTGATGCAGAGTTTGGGGCTCATTTCCTAATTCTTCTGTGTTATTTTAATACTCTTTTATTCAAAATTGCCTTAGTAAACCTAGTGGGTGTAGGTGGAAAATCTGAAATGTCAGTATTTCCTTCCTTTTTATGTGTGTTTTCTGTGCCTGATGGTGGTATGTAATTGCAATGACAGGCTAATTGCAATTATTAAATATTTCAGTTTTATCATGTGTTAGAAAACCAGTAAGAAAAGATTTGAATCTCTTAGTCACAGAATTGCCTCAAGATTTTGAAGGACCATATAGTTAAGACCTGAAGTGTGTTTATATACACGAGATTCTCAGGACTTGTGATTCTTCCAAAGAATGCAACAGAAACTTTATTTGAAATTTCTTCAGTTATTTGTGGTCCAAATCTTATCTGTAATTTGGTCTGGGCTGTGATTGAACAACAAAGCTGAAGCAATGCAACACTTAACTAGTATTAATATACTGCAGTAAAATGTCAAAGTGGCTGCTTGGCAAATCCCTTCTCCTAGTTACATCACTGAGAGAAGAATGAAGTACATCTCAATCACACCAATTAAGAGTAGATTCATGTAATTGTGTTTCCATAAGATATTTTTTGGAGGATTTTTTGGGGAATAGGGACCCAGTGCTTCATTATTTGTGTTAGTACTAAGCCAGCTGGACACTTTTAGAAAAGATCCTGACAAACCTCTTGGTTTGTTGTACTAATTCTTGGCTGGATTGCACAGAAATCAGTTTGTTTGGTAATGTTCCTCCTCAAGCTGTTGCAGGCTTTAAGGGTTATTTTTGGTTTTTGTTGCATTCTTTGGAAGAGCTACATGAGGTGGACTTGTGTGTCCCAGCTCTGTTCATGTGTATATTGTTGGTGTTCTTTGTAGGTGTTATGTTAATACCTGTTAGTGATTGGTGACAAAAAAAGGTGAATGAAGCTTGTGCAGTTCTGTGCTTGTATTCCCCTGGGCTTGGGTGCCATTGATGCACTGAGCAGTTGTCAGTCTTAGCACATTTTATCATCCTTAAGAGACCCAAGTTACACAGTACAGGCTTGTCATGTAATTGCCTGCATTAGGATCAAACCAGTGTTAGTTATGAATCAGAACTTTAAGAAAAGTAGTTCCTAAATAGGTGATTTTATTTTTTTTTACAATCAATTTTTTTTACCTTTTTTTTTTTTTTACATTTTTTACAACGTTTGAGCATTTTTTTCCTCCATCTCCAGCTGAATAAATTGCCTAAGCTTAGTCTCCCTTGTTTTTCTTTGGGACTCAGGGGACAGAGAGGCTCATTTTGGGAGAGTGTGACTGCTTGTTCTGGGTGATGCAGTCATTCTCTCCTAAATACTGAAAACGCTTGCTGAGATAAGATTAGTATAAAATGTTATTAATTTTCCCTTTGATCTTCCAGTCTGATGTATTTCCTGTTGGTAGGTAGGTTTTTTCCAAATATGTAGCAGATCTGTAGCATTATCCAATTTTGTACAATAGAGGCAGACCTTTTCTCTCTTTCTTCAAAATTACTTTGTATCAGTCATTTAAAAAAAGCAACTTATGTCTGTTTAGTTCCTCTGCCTTTTCACATCCCTAAATGCAATTATATGCAAGT